AACCTTTTCAAAAGTAACAACAAAGTCCATGCTCAATAATCCAGGTATACAATCCAACATTTTTCAGTCAGGTCATCTGGACAGTTTCTTTTTTGGTGCTGAAACGTTTCGCCTTCGATCCGGAAGCTTCATAGGTCAAGGAAACACACAATACAAAACTGATTCTTCCCCCACCAGCTTTCTCCAAAGTGGACCAAACCAGTTATGTTGGTGCTAAGATGGTGTCTTTGTCACGCTCCCTCCTCCATTGCCAGCCCTCTTCCTTGTTGACGGTCTTTTCAAAAGTATTTATTTTCCCAGGAAATTGTTTAATATACTGTAATTGAATGCCACAGGCAGCACGGTGGCGCAACTGGTAGAGTTGCTGCCTCTCAGCGAGCAGGTCCTTGGTTCAAACCCCAGTCCAGGGGCCTTTCTGGGTGGAGTCTGCATGTTCTCTCCGTGCATGCGTGGGTTTTCTCCGGGTACTCCGGTTTCCTCCCACAGACCAAAAGCATGCATGTTAGGCTGATTGGTAACTCTAAATTGTCCCTAGGTGTGAGTGAGAGAGTGAATGGTTGTTTGTCTCGTTTGTTTCTATGTGGCCCTGTGATGGACTTGCGACCCGTCCAGGGTGTACCCCGCCCCTCGCACAGTGATTGCTGGGCATGGGCCACAGCGACCCCCGTGACCAAAAGTGGAATAAGCGGGTAAAGATAATGGATGGATGGATGGATGAATGCCACATTTGGTAGACTTGTTTATGACTCATAAATCAAAGTTTAGGACTTGGCTCAGGACTCTAGCATGTCATGACTTTGGATTGAAGACTCGAGACTTGCAAAACAACGACTTTCTCCAACCACTGGTAGTACAAAAGAGTAATTCCCAACACATCGAGTGTTGCACAACAGCCAGATGTTGAAATATGAGCTTGTCTATAACCTCTGGTGAGAGGCGCCGAGCAAGAGTGGGCATACTTGTTGCCCCCCATCTTGGTGCCTGTTCGTTGGGATTCACCCCGGTGAACAAGAGGGTAGCCTCCTTCCACCTACGAGTGGGGGGATGGGTTCTGACTGTTGTTTTTGCCTATGCGCCAAACAGCAGCTCAGATTACCCACACTTTTTGGAGTTCTTGGAGGGGGTACTGGAGAGTGCGCCTCCTAGGGACTCCCTTGTTCTACTGGGGGACTTCAACGCTCACGTGGACAATGACAGTGAGACCTGGAGGGGTGTGGTTGGGAGGAACAGCCCCCCTGATTTGAACCTGAGTGTTGTTCTGTTATTGGACTTCTGTGCTCATCATGGATTGTCCATAATGAACACCATGTTCAGGCATAAGGGTGTCCATATGTGCTCTTGGTACCAGGACACACTAGGTCGCAGTTTGATGATCGACTTTGTTGTTGTCTCATCTGATCTGTGTGGCTGCATGTCTTGGAAACTCGGGTGAAGAAAGGGGTGGAGCTGTCCACTGACCACTACCTGGTGGTGAGTTGGCTCTGATGGTGGGGGAGGATGCTGGTCAGACCTGGCAGACCCAAACGTATTGTGAGGGCCTGCTAGGAACATCTGGCAGAGTCTCCCATGACACGGAGCTTTAACTCCCACCTCCGGGAGAGCTTCAAACATGTTCCGGGGAAGGCGGGGGACATTGAGTCCGAGTAGGCCATGTTCCGTACCTCTATTGTCAAGGTGGCTTATTGGAGCTGTGGCCACAAGGTTGTCGGTGCCTGTCGCAGTGGTAACCCTCGAACCCAGTGGTGGACACTGGTGGTGAGGGATGCTGTCAGGCTGAAGAAGGAGTCCTATTGGGCCTTTTTGGCCTGTGGGACCCTGGAAGCAATTGATGGGTACTAGCAGTCCAAGCTGCATGCAGCTCAGGTGATCGCTGAGGCAAAAACTCGGGCGTGGGAGGAGTTCAGAGTGGCCATGGAGAATGACTTCTGCACGGCTTCGAGGCGATTCTGGTCCACCATCAGACATCTCAGTGGGGTAAAGCGGTACACCACCAACACTATTTATAGGGGAGGTGGTGTGCTGCTGACCTCAACTCGGGATGTCGTGGGTCAGTGGGCAGAATACTTTGGAGACCTCCTCAATCCCACTGCCACATCTTCCACTTAAGAAGCGGAGCCTGGGGACTTTGGGTCGGGGTCTCTAATCTCTGGTGCTGAGGTCACCGAGGTGATTAAAAAGCTCCTTGGTGGCAGGGCCCCAGGGGTGGATGAGATTCGCCTGGAGTTCCTTAAGGCTCTGGATGTTGTGGGGTTGTGTTGGCTTACACGACTCTGCAATATTACATGGACATTGGGGGCAGTTCCCCTGGATTGGCAGACTGGGGTGGTGGTCCTCCTATTCAAAAAGGGGGGCCGTAGAGTGTGTTCCAATTACAGGGGGATCACTCTCTTAAGCCTCCCTGGTAAGGTCTATTCGAGGGTTCTGGAGAGGAGGGTTCGTTGGATAGTCGAACCTTGGATCCAGGAGGAGCAGTGTGGTTTTTTCCTGGTTGTAGAACACTGGACCAGCTCTACACCCTCAGCAGGGTCCTGGAGGTTGAGTGGGAGTTTGCCCAACCAATCTAAATGTGCTTTGTGGACTTGGAGAAGGCATTCGACTGAGTCCCTCGGGGAGCCCTGTGGGAGCCCTGTGGGGGGTACTCTGGGAGTATGGGGTACCAGGCCCTTTGATACAGGCTGTTAAATCCCTGTACGACCGGTGTCAGAGCTTGGTCCACATTGCCGGCAGTAAGTTGGGCTCATACCCAGTGAGAGTTGGACTCCGCCAATGTCGCACTTTGTCACCGATTCTGTTCATAACTTTTATGGACAGAATTTTTAGGCGCAGCCAAGGTGTTTAGGGGATCCATTTTGGCGGCCTTAGGATCACATCTCTGTTTTTTGCAGATAGTGTGGTCCTATTGGCTTCATCAGGTCATGATCTTCAGCTTTCGCTGGAGCGGTTTGCAGCCAGATGTGACACGGCCGGGATGAGGATCAGTTCCTCCAAATCTGAGGCCATGGTCTTGAGCCGGAAAAGGGTAGAGTGCCCTCTCCGGGTCAGAGAGGAGGTCCTGCCCCAAGTGGAGGAGTTTAAGTATCTTGGGGTCTTGTTCACGAATGAGGGAAAAATGAAGCATGAGATCGATAGGAGGATAGGCGCAGCATCTACAGTGAAGCAGGCGCTGTATTGGTCTGTCGTGGTGAAGAGAGAGCCGAGTCAAAAGGCAAAGCTCTCAATTTACCGGTCGATCTACGCTCCTACCCTCATCTATGGTCCTGAGCTTTGGGTTGTGACCGAAAGAACGAGATCACGGATACAAATGGCCAAAATGAGTTTTCTCTGCAGGGTGTCTGGGCTCTCCCTTAGAGATAAGGTGAGAAGCTCGGTCATCCGGGAGGGACTCAGAGTAGAGCCACTGCTTCTCCACATCGAGAGGAGCCAGTTGAGGTGGCTCGGGCATCTGGATAGGATGCCTCTTGGACGCCTCCCTGGTGAGGTGTTCCGGGCACGTCCCACCGGGAGGAGACCCAGAAGAAGACCCAGGATACGCTGGAGGGACTATATTTCTCGGTTGGCCTGGGAAGGCTTTGGGATTCCCCCGGAGGAGCTGGTCCAAGTGGCTGGGGAGAGGGAAGTCTGGGCTTCCCTACTTTGGCTGCTACCCCCATAACCCAACCCCAGATAAGCAAAAGAGAATGGATGGATGGATGTACTGTATAACCTCCAGAACAAGGTTAGACCAAAATACTTACAACTCTGGCATGAAAGGCAGTGGATGATTTGCAGTCCTTCAAGGGATGTTGGGTGTTCAGTTGAAAATGTGTTCCTATAATTTTGCTTACAGTTATCTTCTGTAACAGATCAAGCTGAAATGTGTCTTTTTTAGGTTGATCATCAAACTCAATCGTCCTGTTTGTGGATTCTCCTTGGAAGCTCCCGTTTACTGGACCAAGAAACTTCTACCATCCTGGTTTTCATTCTGCTGCCAGGATGCCCATCATCAGCAATGCCAACCATGACTTCAGCACCTACTCTATCAGCAGCGACGATAGCAGCCTTGATCGCTTCTTCACCGAAATCCCAGAGACTGAAACCCTAAAGGGCATTTACTTCCAGCGCGCCCAGCTTATTCGTGACCACAATGCCTCATATGTAGTTGACCACACTCTACATGTTCTCATCAACGTTGGGGGAAACCGCTACACCTTCCCCTGGAGCACCCTGGAGCAGTTTCCCCATAGTCGACTGGGTCGGCTGCGCTTCTGTACAACCCCTGAAGAGATTGCTCGACTCTGTGATGACTACGATGAGACGTATCAGGAGTACTTCTTTGACCGGAACCCCACAGCCTTTAGGGTCATCCTCAACTTCTTGGCTGCTGGGAAACTGCGTCTGCTCAGGGAACTGTGCGCCGTCTCTCTACACGACGAGCTAGACTACTGGGGCGTGGACCCAGGAAACATGGAGCGCTGCTGTCGCCGACGCATGATCACCCGTGTGGATGAGGTGGCAGAGCGTGAGCAAAAAGAGAAAGTGTGGAGAAAGAAGAGGACAATGCTGAAGAAAAGACCAGCAAAGACTGAAAAAGGATACCGCAGACTGGTCTCAGTACTGAGAGAGGTGATGGAAAACCCTCACTCAGGTTTGGCCGGGAAGATGTTTGCCTGTCTCTCCATCATTATGGTTCTGATCACAGTCATCAGTTTGTGCATCAGCACCATGCCAGACCTCAGGGATGAAGAAAACAGGGTGTGTATGAAAGCCTCAAAACAGTCAGTTTGATCTTTTTATACAGCTTCAAGTCTTTTCTCTCTCAACTAGAAGCCATCTGGTACTGCTGCGACTAAAACACTTCTAACATCTTTGTATTTCATTTCAGTTGGAAAAAACTGGCAATTTAAAATTAAAATTTAAATCAACAATTACTAACACTCTCCACCCCATCACCTGCCCCTAATAAACAAGAGAACAAACAACAACCACACACACACACACGCACGCACGCACACACGCACACACGCACACACACGCACAACTGTGGAGCTCAGTTCAGAACCTTTACAAGACAGAAATGGATTTTAGGTCATCTCAAATGATCCAGCCTTAAAAGCCAAAATCAGTCAGATTTATTTTTATTTTCCCAGTTTGATAAACTTCATCTTGTATATATAGGCAGTGCTACAGATTTCCAGTTTAACAGTATTAGTCTCCTGGTCAGCAGAGTTGTGAAAGCTATTAAGTTCTGTTTAGCAGGAGAACGAGCAAGTGTGGTAGTGACGAGGCAGTGAAAACTGTAGGAGAGATGTGTGAGCAATTTGATACAGCCTGTTGGGGTCATCCACACAGGAGGGACACTGTTGGACATTTTTGCGAGCCTACCTTTAGTATAGTGAGCTTCATGTAGGATCTGTTGTTGCACATAACTGTTGAGCACAGATTGAAGAACTGTGCACCATCTTTTAATACCTACAGCCAGTCTGAAGTCTCTCTCGTACAGTTTTTAACCCAGTTGGTTTTAAAGGTTAAAAATAATTAAATATATAGAACTCAATTCAATTCAGTATATTTATATAGCACCAAATCACAACAAAGTTGTCTCAGGGCACTTTACAGGAACATTCACATACATTAAAAAAAAACAATTGGTAAATTTCTCTATCTAAGGAAGCCAGCAGACAAGTTGAATCTTAGCTTCGTTGCAGTCTCCCATCCTGAGCAAGCACAATGGCAATAGTGGAAAGGAAAAACTCAATTTTAAAAGGAAGAAACCTCCAGGAGACCCAGGCTCAGGACAAGCGGCCATCTGCTTTGACAGACTGGTTTGAGAGGACAGAAAGGAGAGACAAACAAACACAGAATGGTAGGTCCAGATATAGGTCCAGGTGTATGACACAATCTGGGTTTTGGATTAGCACACACCACCGAACAACAGGCATTGTTTAAAGTGTTTATTGATAAACAGCTTCTGGTGGAGGTCCGGTTTCCAAAGGTGGGTCTGATCTGTAGAGACAGAGGAGTTAGTGATCTGGGTTTTACTGTGAAGGTTCAGAAGCTTTTAAAGGTAGTCACTAACCTTCACAGTCTGTAGAGAGAGGAACTCCTTTGGTGATTAGGAAATGACGATTTCACTCATTGTGAGTGAGCAGCAGCAGAGAAGCAGGTTGATGTAGAATTTGGTTCTAGGGAGAGTCCAAGGATGAGGTCCAGTAGGGAAAGCAGAGGTCATGCACAGTTGGTCAGAGAGCAGAATCCAAAGCCAAATCTTGATCCGGGAGACATAGTTGAGGAGATGGGAAGAAGAGTCGGTACCGTGGTCAGAAAGCAGAATCCAAAACAAGTAAAGGGAGGGTAAGGCGAAAAATCTGAGGAACAGGCGTGGGGTCGAGACAAGGCTAGAGGCCAAGGCTGTGAAGAGATTGTTGGACATCTACTATCTAAAAGAGTTCGATAATCTGGCACTGGTGGAGTGTGAGCATGGAGCTTATAAAGGCAGGTGAACAGGTAAAGCTGATGAGTGCTGATTGCTGTAACAAACAAGGGAGGTGTGGCTTGGCTTGGAAGGAGCAGGGTTGAGCTGAAGATGGGTGATAGGTAAAACTGAACATGGAAACAGAAAACTAAGTCAGGAAGGGGCAGAAACGTGACATAGCCCCACCCTTATAGTCCAGCTCCTGACGGACCTCCAGACTGGTCAGGGTGGGAATTATGAAAGTTACGAATGAGGGTTTTATCCAAAATCTTATGGGCAGGAACCCAGGACCGCTCCTCGAGTCCATAGCCTTCCCAGTCCACCAGGTAGTGTAGACCTCAACCCTACCATCTGGAGCGGAGCAGCCTCTTGACGGTGTAGGCCAGGGACCCATTGATCAGTCTGACGGGAGGAGGAGGCCTGGAGGAGGGCTCAAAACGTGATGAAAGGAAGGGTTTAATGCATAAGACATGGAACGTTGGATGTACTTTGAGAGAGTGAGGTAGCTGGAGGCGAACCGCCACAAGGTTGATTAACTTGGCAATGGGAAAAGGTCCCACGAAACGAGGTGCCAGTTTACATGACTCTACTCGGAGCGGGAGGTCCTTGGAAGAAAGCCAGACCTTCTGGCCCACCTGATAGGAAGGTTTCTGAGATCATCGTCGGTTGGCCCCTCTGATATAGACTGCAGAGGTCTTGATGAGAGCCCTTCTAGCCTTCCTCCAAGTCCGTTGGCACCTTAATGCTGCTCTGTGGGCAGATGGAACCAGAGCCTCTTTCTCCTAAATAGAGAAAAGAGGGGCTTGGAAACCATACACAGTGTAAAAAGGGGACAGACCTGATGCAAATGAAGGTAGGGAGTTGATGGCGTGTTCTACCCAGGGTAGATTGGCAGCCCACTTGTTAGGGTCCTTCTCGCACAGGAGTCGAAGCTTGATCTCCATCTCTTGGTTTGCTCTCTCACTCTGGTCATCAGTTTGAGTGTGAAAACCTGATGAGAGACTAACATAAATACCCAGAAGGTTACAAAACTCCCTTTAGAACCGTGAGATGAATTGTGGGCCCCGGTCAGGAACGATGTCCACAGGCAGCCCATGCAAACCAAAAACTTCCTTAATTATAAGCTCCCCCAGTTTCTTGGCTAAGGGGAGTTTATTGAGTGGTACTAGATGGACCATCTTAGAGACACAGTCCACAGTAGTGAGAATGACCATGTTGCCAGCAGAAGGAGGGAGACCTGTGATGAAATCCATGGCTAAGTATGACCATGGGCATGGAGGAATAGGAAGGGGTCGTAGCAAACCTGCAGGGGGACGTCTGGAGGTCTTAGCCTGGTTGCATGGGTGACGGGAAGTAACGTAATCCTTTACGTCTTTAATCAAGTCCTTCCACCAGAACTGGGCTTTAACTAAGTTCAGAGTTTTAGTAGTGCCAGGGTGACAAAACATGCGTGAACTGTGACAGAGGTCTAAAACTTTCTGAATCTGATGAGGAGATACAAACACACAAACCCGTTGTCTTGGGTTGAGTCTTTTGGCTGTCTTAAGGTACTCCAGATTTTTGTGATCTGTCCAGACCAGAAATGGTTCTTTGGCACCCTTCAGCCAATTTCTCGACTCCTCTAGAGCCAATTTAACAGCTAGTAGTTCTCGTTCTCCCACATCATAATTGCATTCAGCAGGTGTAAGGCTCCTGGAAAATAAAGCACAATGATGAATCCTCCCCTCTGTGATATGTTAACTGAGGACTGCCTCAACACCAGTGCTAGATGCATCAACTTCAACAATAAATTGTTTGTCATGATCAGGAGAGTGTAGGACGGGTGCAGAAGAGAACAGTCTCTTAAGTGTGGTGAAGGCAAGTTTGGCTTGTTCGTTCCAGAGAAACTTGGTCTTGGATGACGTGAGTGAGTGAAGTGGAGAATAAATCAGCCTATAGTTCTTAATATGCTGGTGAACATTCTCAGTCATCCAGGACATGATGAATTCAAAAAGTGTTCAATACAAAAACAACTGGACTTTATTTGTAACAGAAGACGTTTCGCTCCTCATCCAAGAAGCTTTCTCAATTCAAAGAGCAGTGAGTGAGGGGTTCAGGTTATAAGGCT